AGAATCCGGCACCCCGACCGGGACTAGAACCCAGAGTGCCAGTGCCACAGGTGGAGGATTAGCCTAGTGAGCCACAGCGCTGGCCAACCAGTCAATATTTTTAAAAAATTATATACATTGATGTCAGGTTTAAGATAGAATGAACATCCACATTTTTTGTTTTTCATATTATCAATCTTAATTTTTACATGTTTGTATTTATAATTTTGCCAGTCTTTTGCTCAAAGCACACTGCTTTCTTGGTTTAGCATTGTGGCTGAATTTCAAAACTGAATCAAGAAGATGAAATGTATCTGACTGTTGCAGAATTCCTGTCTTGCATTTGCTCATTTTGCAGCACTTCTCAAAACCATCTAGGAAAAAAAAAAAAAAAAACAAACTTGGAACTGGCAGTTGCGTGCTGGTTTGGCTTTATTACTGTGAGTGGGGTAAAAATATTTGAGCTGCAAATTGACCCCAAAGTGGGTAGAAAAATTCTCGTAATCTCTTAACTCCAGACCACTGGTCTTAGACTCTGGCGTCCAGTTCTGGTTCTTTTTAACTAACTCTCTGTGGCCTGGTGTCCTCATATGAAAAGTGGGAAGACCCAACACAGGCTCTGAGTATCTCATGTGGTTCCTGCAAAACTTAACTTTTTGGATGACATACTACGTATGCACAAGTACCTAAAATATTGATATTATATCTGCTAGTGTCACCACTGCCCTGTCACTCTGATGACCATCACCTCGCCTAGGAGCTCACCTAAGAAGATATCTTTCCAATCATGAACCTCTTTCAATACAAGGGCTTAATTTGTTAACTGGCCTCTCTCTCTCTCTCTCTCTCTCTCTCTCTCTCTCGTTTGTTCTCTATCCAGGATTCTTGGCTTTGGCCTATAAGGGGAATGAATAGGTTAAGAATGGCCTCATCCTTGTGGTCCACCCCACCTCCTGAACACCTCCCAGTCCAGAACACCAAGCTCATGAGACTCTCTGCTTAAGAACTTTCTCTGTGGCCGGCACTGCGGCTCATTAGGCTAATCCTCCGCCTTGTGGCGCTGGCACACCAGGTTCTAGTTCCGGTCAGTGTGCCAGATTCTGTCCTGGTTGCCCTTCTTCCAGGCCAGCTCTCTGCTGTGGCCAGGGAGTGCAGTGGAGGATGGACCAAGTGCTTGGGCCCTGCACCCCATGGGAGACCAGGAGAAGTACCTGGCTTCTGCCATTGGATCAGCGCAGTGCGCGGGCTGCAGCGCGCTGGCCGCAGCAGCCACTGGAGGGTGAACCAACGGCAAAAGGAAGATCTTTCTCTCTGTCTCTCTCTCTCACTGTCCACTCTGCCTGTAAAAAGAAAAAAAAAAAGAACTTTCTCTGTGCAGCAGAGCGCTAGGGTAGAGTGTGTGTACCTGGGACATAACACCCCCAGGAGCAGTCCCACTGATGACACCTGGGAGTAGGAGGCTAAATATCCATCATCCATGCCCTTCAATTGGGGATGGCTGTGGGGTGCGTTCCATGCAGCCCCAGTGGAGCTGAGTCCCCGGTACCCCCACAGTGGCACACTCTGAGCTGCCTTCCTGCCCTGTTCCCCCTCACTCTTCTCTCCCCTCCCCTAAAGTGCATCCTGCATCGACCCCCGACACTCAAGTCCTCATCTCAAAAGTTCCTTCTGGAAAACCCCCAAACAGAGACAGAGGCTGTTAGGAGAGTTGAGGGCCACGTTGAAGGCAGAGAAGAACCAGGAGTGGGCAGCAAGAAAGTGGGTCAGGGTGGAGCACACAGTAACAAAGTAGCCTTGTGGTGCAGCGCCCTGGCACCAGGTGTGGTGCGACAGAGCCACAAACAAGTTGGTGATACAGATGCACTGGATATAATATGATATTACTCTATAATCAGAATTGCTGCTCGTGGCATCCAGGACCGATTGAAATGGGGGAACTCTAGTAAAACTTAGCCAAAACCTGGTAGAATTCCAGGGCAAGATGATAAAGCCTGAATGAAAGAGCTCTTCCAAACACCGTGGTGAGGAAAGCTCTGTGTGTGTGTGTGTGTGTGTGTGTGTTGTTTTCCAGTGGAGAGAACTGGCTGATGCTACGGGGCACAATCAGGGTCAGTGTCATTTGCGCGAGTCACACTGGCAGCATGGATGCCAGATATCATGCGATAAACTCAAGACTCATCTCCAACATTCTTCCTTCCAACAACGCACACCCCCAACCTGACCAGGAAGTAAGTCTCAGACAAGTGGAATTGAGGGCAACTCCAGAAAACACCTGTCCAGCACTCAAAACTGTCATTTAACAAAAACCAAGGAATGTCTGAGAGGCTGTCACAACCCCAGGGAACTTAAGAAGACTCAATGTAGCTGGCGCAGCGGCTCAATAGGCTAATCCTCCACCTCCGGCGCCGGCACCCCGCGTTCTAGTCTCAGTTGGGGCACCGGATTCTGTCCCGGTTGCTCCTCTTCCAGTCCAGCTCTCTGCTGTGGCCCGGGAATGCAGTGCAGGATGGCCCAGGTCCTTGGGCCCTGCACCCGCATGGGAGACCAGGAGGAAGCACCTGGCTCCTGGCTTCGGATTGGCGCAGCGCGCCGGCTGCAACACGCAGGCTGTAGCGGCCACTTGGGAGGTGAACCAACGGAAAAAGGAAGACCTTTATCTCTGTCTCTCTCTCACTATCTAACTCTGCCTGTAAAAAAAAAAAAAAAAAAAAAAGAAGGAGAAGGAGAAGAAGACTCAATGCAGTGTGGTGTCCTGGATCAGCCCCTAAATAGAAAAGAACAGTGGGTAAAAATGAAGTTCAAATAAAGCACAGAGTTTGGTTAATAATTGTGCATCATTAGTTGGTTCGTTATTTGGCTCAGTAGTTCCAGCAAATGCATGATGCTATAATAAGAAAAATATCATAGGGAACCTGGAAATAGAGCATACGGGATCTCTCTGTAGTATATTTGCAAATTTTTTGTAAATTTGAAACTATCCCAAAATTAAAAGTTTAGAGAAAAAATTTCAAAGGAAAACTGTCTGAATCTAAATAAACAGAAAGTCCTGGAATGAAATTCTACTTCGATAAATAGTTCTCCAAATCGGGGAGGTAGAAAGTGTTTCACAGTCTGGTGTATTCCCAGCTCTAAGGTTTATTCTGCATTTGCTCTTAGTATTTCCAACTTGAGTGTGGCCAGCCCCTTCCTGAATCCTCCTGGACAGCACCAGCCATTACCAACCTCCCTCTGCTCTGCAATCTCTTTTGATTAAGTGCATTTCCTTCCTATTCCATGTCCAGTGACATCACACTAGAAGAAGAAATTCAGCCATTCTGGGTGTATGTATACCATAGAAATTGACAAACTCGGCCAATCAGGATTTTCTTCTTTTCTCCAGAGAACTAGCTGACTCACACACTGCTGCTTAGCATCTATGCCATTCAGTTGAGTGTTTAATTTCTTTGCTTTGGTTCTGGTGCTGTGGCATAGTAGGTTAAGCCTCCCCCTGTGGCACTGGCATCCAATATGGGTGCTGGCTGTTCCTCTTCCAATCCAGCTCTTTGCTGATGACCTGGGAAAGCAGTGGAAGATGACCCAAGTGCTTGGGCCCTGCACCCATGTGGGAGACCCAGAAGAAGCTCCTGGCTTCGGATTGGCCCAGCTCCAGCCATTGAGGTCATTTGGAGGGTAAACCAGCAGATAGAAAACCTCTATCTCTCCCTCTCTCTGTCTGTAACTCTGCCTCTCAAATAAATAAAATAAGTCTTTAAAAAAAAAAAAAAAGAATCTCTGCTTTGTACATTAACGGTTCATGTTATTGCTTCCAGAATAAACAAGAGTCAACTTGTACTGTTGAAGAGGCTCCGCCTACCATATTGCCAAAGCTAGAGAAGCTGGGCAGTAGCCACCTGTGCAGCCCAAATCCTCCACCCCAGGACACAAGCTACAGTGGTTGCCTAAATGGAGCCCATTCCCAGCTCTTAACACCATGCACCTCTCAATACACCTGCAAAACTAATGAGTTGAAGGGAGACCGACTATAAGTCCAGGCTTAGCAGCCTTGAGTTCTTCTGGACTGTTGAGCGATGAGTGCCAGCTATTAGAATAGCTTCACCCCAGGGCATCACACAGTGCTCCAAGGGGTATCATTAGACATCACCATGACCAAGTAAGTTAGAGAACTACAGATTCAACCACGTGAAACAGACCCCATGTCTGCAGGAATGTCTGTGTGGGAGGGGGGTAGGAAGCAGATCTAACTACGAGGTAGATAGGCCTCAAGAAGTGGCACACCTATCAGGGAAGAAGTGATCATCAAGTCAACATCAAAAGATAAAAGTAGTCCCAGCACTGTGGCGTAATGGATTAAGTCTCTGCCTGCCAAGCCAGCATCCCATATGGGAGCTGGTTCAAGTCCTGGCTGCTCCACTTCTGATCCAGCTTCCTGCTGATGGTCTGGGAAAGCAATGAAGGATGGCCCAGGTGCTTGGGCCCCTGCACACACGTGGGAGACCCTGAAGAAGCTCCAGGCTCCTGGCTTTGGCCTGGTTCAGCCATAGCCATTGTGGACATATGGGAAATAAACCAACAGATGGAAGATCTCTCTCTCTCTCTCTCTCTCTCTCTCTCTCTCTCTTTCTGTCTCTTCCTCACTCTATCCATAACTCTGCCTCTCAAATAAATAAATAAACTTTAATAAATAAATAAATAATAAAAATTAAAGGAGTTGGGCTCTACCACCCAAGTGGGAGACTTGGATTGAGGGCCAGGCTCCTGGCTTCAGCCTGGCCCAACCCATCTTTAAAAGTTAGAAGGTGATCTCATCCATTCTTCTACCTAGCCTTTCCCTCAACTTGAAGTTGAAATGAAGACTACAAGGGGAGGGGATTGCAGCACCTGGATCTTCTGAAGTTGGCCCACTGACTACTTTTCAAATGGCTTCACAGCTGAGTCAGAACCCACAGGTGCAGCAACTTGTTCTTGCTGGTGTTGACAGCAAATATTTACAATGCTCTTTACTTGGTCATGACTTTGCTTACCTTCACAGACTGAAGTGGAGCCCAATCCTGCTCTTTATCTGATGGATGCCCAAGCTGGCAGCAAATACAGCTCTTCTTCCCTGAGCCTGTTATCTCATGTGTTTTCAGCCTCTGGAAGCATTTTCCAAATAGTTTGTCTTGTCTGTGGCTGGATGAACTGAAGAATGATGATGCCTTGCATTTTTATGTACAATGCTGTTTTCTTAGGATAATTTTTCACAGCTGTCATCTCACTTTGTCTCCTCATAACCTTGTGAGACAGAGAACATTTTAATCTTATGCAGGAAAAAACTGCAACCAGGGTGTTCCAGATGCATCCTATCTTATTAGAACACAGGGCTATCTGGTCAGTGGCTCAGCCTTGCCTGCCCATGCAGAAGACCTAGGAGGTTGTTCAGATGCTGGTGGGGGTAGGCATTTGGCTCAGAGGTTAAGATCCCACTTGGGACACCCACATCTTGTATCAGAGTACCTGGGCCCAAGTCCTAGATCAGTTCCTGATTCCAGCTTCCTGCTAATGCATACCCTAGGAGGCAGCAGATGATGGCTCAAGTACTTGGGTCCCTGTCACCCACATTGAAGACCTGGATTGAGTGCTGGGTTCCTGGCTCCAGCCTGACCTAGCCCAGCTATTGTGGACATTGGGGCAATAAAACAGCAGATAGTCTCTCTCTCTCTCCCTCCCTCCCTCCCTCCCTCTCTCCCTCTCTCTCTCCCTCTCTCTCTCCCTCTCTCCCTCTCCTTCTCTTTCTCTGCCTTTCAAATAAATTTAATTAATTCATTAAAATTATTTAAATACAAATAAAGTTCTGGGGCTTGGACCCCTCCCCAGAGCTCCTGTTTGGGTGTAGCTTGGGCATTGGGATGCTCCATCTTTGTCCCAAGTGACTCTGTGCAATCCTGACTCCCGAACACAGACTACTGTCCACACAGCAGCACCATCATGTTTGTGTGGGTAATTGCTTTCCCCATGTTTCTCTCAGGTTCTCCACCATGTTAGTCATCTTCATGTTACTATAACAAACTACCTGACCCAACCACTAATGAATAAAAGGGGGCTTGTTGAGCTTCTGGTGCAGGTTCAAGGGCACAGTTCCTGCCTCAGCGTGGTTCTCGAGGGTACTTGTGGAGAACAGTGATGACCATGCTGGGAATACGTCAGGCAAGGAAGGGGCCACATCTTGAACCAGGAGCAGAGTGAGGCTGCGTGGGGACAAATTCAGGCTTTTATGACAACCCTCTCTGAAGAACTGCCGAGGAGCCCCACGAAAACTACCTTCCAAGAGGGAGCAGGAGATGGGAGGGGTGTGAGTGGGAGGGAAATTATGGGGTGGGGGGGAAGCCATTGTAATCCATTAACTGTATTTTGGAAATTTATACTTACTAAATAAGAAAGAAAGAAAGAAAGAAAGAAAGAAAGAAAGAAAGAAAGAAAGAAAGAAAACTACCTTCCAAGGGCATTCCTAGGGGCCTAGGGACCTCACACGTCCTCCCAGGAGGACCTACCTCTCAAGGCTTCCACCACCACCGGATACACACACCCCAGGGATCACTACTTCAGTCACATAGACCTTTGGATGCCCAAACCACATCCAAAACTGCAGCATCCACATTTCAACACTGACTTTAATGAGAAGATGTGGAATATGAGGTTTTTATTTTAAGTTCTTTCTCGAGTCTCACATCCCACCCCACATCAAGTTGTTTATGAACAACGTTGGGAGGATTTTATCAGAGCAACTTGAGAGGTGTGCATTGACTCCACCGCCTTCAGGGCCTGGGACATGAGATGACATTCATGGACAAGTAGCTACAAATACTCCTTTGGCCCAGATATCGCACCTCTGCAATCCACCCCAAGTGTACAACAATGAAACACAATGTTGTTTACTGGACAACTGTGTCCAATAGCAAAACAATGGCAAACAACCTAAAATGCCGATTCATAAAAGAATAGTCAAATTACAGCACCTGCACACTATAGAATATTACAGTATCATAAAAAATAATGGAGTTGAAGAACCTTAAAAATCAAACCAAGATGGAGTGACTTAAGCCAATACCATTAAAAACAAGAAGTCACCTTTGCCCCCAAATAAAAATTAAAGTTTAAAATTACAGCCCTAAACTTTTTCCCCCAAACTAAAATTAGGTACAGCTATAAAATAAGGGACCCTATGCTTAGCTAGCTGCGACACTTGTGCCTGGCTGTGCTAAGACCTAACCCAGTTTGTATGCCTCCTAATACTCAAATAACGGTGTGGGAAGCAGGACGCCGCTCTCCCACAAGGGGAACAAAGGGAGCGAGAAGTCATCCCCCCTCAGGGTGAACAAGATGGCACTGGCAGGGAAAGGAACTACTAAAGAAGTAAACAACAAAATAGCGACGAGGTGCATGCCTCCCGTGTGATCCCGTAGCTGACTGGATAGAAGACGCATGCCCTTCACATGATCGGCTCGCTGTGTGCATGGACTCTATAGTGCTTTTGATTGGTAGCTGCGGGTATATAAACCGTGTGGCTTGTACTGGGGGCGCTCTCCGGACTCCCGAGTTCAGGAGTCCTGTCTGCACAGGCGCCGAATAAATCCTCTTGCTTTTGCATCAGCTGGTCTGGAGTCTGAGTCTCTGGGGTGTGCCTCTCGACATGTTAGCATCCTCACTCCAAGGGTCTAACAGAGTCAGGGCCGGCTCTGTGGCATAGTAGGCTAAGCCTCTGCCTGTGACACTGGCATCCAATATGTACACCAGTCCGTGTCCTGGCCACTCCTCTTCTGACCCAGCTCTCTGCTTGTAGCCTAGGAAGGCAGTGGAAGATGTCCCAAGTGCTTGGAGCCCTGCACTCACCCAGGTGACCCAGAGGAAGCTCCTAGCTCTGGCCATTGCAGCCATTTGGGGAGTGAATCAGTGGTTGGAAGACCTTTCTCTCTGTCTCTCCCTTTCTCTTTCTGTAACTCCACCTGTCAAATAAATAAATAATATAAAATAAATAAAATTAAACTTTAAAAAATAGAGTTGAGGGCCATCATTGAAGCGTAGTGGGAGAGGACTGGGGGGAAATGGGGTGAGAGGTCCTTCAAAGAAGCAGCAGGTGCGGGGTCAGCATTGTGGTGCATCAGGTTAAGCTGCTGCCTGTGATGCCCATTCCATATCAGATTGCCAGTTTGATTCATGGCTGTTCCTGTTCCAATCCAACTCCATACTAATGCACATGGGAGAGCAGTAGAAAATGACCCAAATGCCTGGGCCCTTGCTACACATGTAGGACACCCAAAGGGAGTTACAGGTTCTGAGCTTTGGCTTGACCCAGCTTGGGGTGCTGCTGTCATTTGGATATGAACCAGCATTTGGAAGATCTCTCTCTCTCTCTCTCTCTCTCCCTCCCTCCCTCCCTCTCTCTTTCTTCCTCTCTGCCACTCTGTCATTCCTTTTTAAAAAAAATATATAAGTTTATTTGAGAAAAATATTTTGAAATCACTGTATAGCTTTTTGGGTTTTTTTAGGATCATATTTTCTTCTTATTTTTTTGAGATAACATATGTTTAATTTACCTTATAGTCAAAGGCTTAATGCTCCACTAAATAAAGACTTCAATGAGTAAAGAGTAAAAAGATCCTAGTGCAGCAGGAATTTAGGCAAGGGCTGTAAACAATAATCAAATAAATAAATGTCAATTTCACTCATATACAGTCAATTTAAAAATAATTGCAAATCATTAAAATGATAGTAGTATATCATTCTTAACAATTTGTTTGACCATATAAAACAAAGTTAGACAAAGCTATATTTGCAGTAATACTGATGCACTGAATGCATTTCTCTCTTTTTTTTTTTGTTTTTGCTTTTTGATTTCTTTTTTTTTTTTTAATTTTAGTTCTCTCATATACGGGAGAACATGTGGTATTGCTCTCTGTGTTTGGCAACCAGAGGACATTATGTTGAATGAAATAGGTCAGAGCCAGGAACTACAAACTTCATCTGGGTCTTCCATTTGGGTGGCAGGGCTTCAAGTACCAGGGCCATCCTCCATTGCTTTCCCAGGTGCATTAGTGAGGACCTGGATTGAAAGTGGAGCATCCAGGACACCTACTGGCACCCATATGGGATGCTGGTATCACAGGCAGTGCTTAACCTGCTATGTAACAAGTCCAGCCCCAATAAAATATTTTTTAAATAATTGTTTTTTTTAAAAAAAAAAGCATCAGCAGATGGAGATCAAACATGAGAGGCCTTGAGTTACAGGCCTAGAAATTATAAGTAAAATAAATAAAGCATTCTTGAAGTCAGGAACGAGGTCAGCAGAGGTCAGATTTCTGGAACTTCACCCAGCAAGAGTGTAGAAGATGGTTAGAAGGACCAGTAATCAAAGCAAAGATAGACAAACATGATTGCATCAAGCTAAGAAGATTCTGCACAGCAAAGGAAACACTCAACAAAGCGAAGAGACAACTGACAGAATGGGAAAATATATTTGCAAACTATGCATCTCATAAAGGATTACTAAGCAGAATACATAAGGAGCTCAAGAAACTCAACAACAGAATACCAGTCCAGTTAAGAAATGGCCAAAGGAATCAAACAGGCATTTTTCAAAGGATGAAATACAAATGACCAACAGACACAGGAAAAAATACTCAGGATCACTAGCCATCAGGGAAATGCGGGAAAAAAAAATGAAATTTCATCTCACCCCAGTCAGAATGGCTATCATCCAAAAACCGAAAAATAACAAATGTTGTCAAGGATGTGGAGAAAAAGGTGTTATCTGTACCCCTATATTTATAGCAGCTCAAGTCACAGTAGCTAAGATGTGAAATCAACGCAGATGTCCATCGGCTGATGACTGGATAAAGAAAATGTGGTATACACACACAATGGAATACTACCCAGCCATAAAAAGGAAGAAATCCTGACTTGCAACAAAATAGATGCAACTGAAACCATTATGTTTAGTGAAAGAAGCCAGATCCAAAAATATTACATATGTTTTCTCTGATTTGTAGTAGCTAATATAGAGAATATTAAAAAAGAAACTCAGTGTCTAAGAGTACAACTGACATCTTACTATTTGATTATTGTTTATAGCCCTTGTCTATATTCCTGTGGAACAGCGGTCTTTCTACTTTTTACTTGTTGAACACTATATCTAGTGGAGCATTAGGCTTGTGATTATAAAGTAAATTGAAAGTATATTATCCCAAAAATTAAAAGAAAAAATAAAGTGAGGAAGGAAGGAAAATCGGTGCTCAAACCAAAATCAGTTAGGATGTATAGCAAGAAAACTATATGGTTTTCTACATAAAAAAACAAATACTTTGATACTGGATAACAGCCCTACAAATAAAATTAAGATAAACTATAAAAACTATTAGATAAGCACAAATAAGATACTAGAAAATTATTTGTTGTGCATGTAAAAAGAAATGGATCTCCTTAATATGCAAAGTGTTAATCTCCCTATTATGCAAAGAACCCTTTGAGTTACTAAGGAATAAAAGAGGCTACAACAAAGGATGCGGACAGGAACAAATGAGACCATTCACAAATGGCTCCAGATAGCCAATAGGCTTAAGACAGATTTTTGCATTCTGTCAGATGGTCAAAAATGCATTCCATCAAGAATAACTATTTTGAAGAAATAGGCATTTCTATCCATTTTTACT